CACTTGTGGTCAACTCTATACACTTCATTGGAATTCAATACATCTGAAGTTAACGGACTTGAGCTCGACATTTTTTCACTTAATGCACTTGAGCAACTGTATGAACTTCACTTGTAGCACCCGACTCGGCTGTGCACGTCCAATCAAAAATGTCCAACGCGAGAGCCGTCAGCCATGAGCATCATCGGCAGTCGCTCTGAAGTCTAAGCTCATAGTCCATAGCGCCTTTCAGGAAGCAACAACTCAGCATGCACGCATGTAGAGCATCTGTTTCATTAATGTGTGACGGTACATACGCTTTCGTGCTGCAGGCAGGATTCTAAGCAGTGATGTTCCTTTTTTGTCTTGGCCACAAGATCGCCCGCGGTGGAGCGCTGGCGAAGATACTGGAGGTCGGCGAGCGCTTTCTTCGTCGACTCCCGCGGCGGGCCACGAATGTTCTTCTCAATCTCTCCACACCAAAAACGAACTCGAAATCCGCAGCCATGCTTCTGCACGTTCCCGCGACACGCAAAGGCCTGCCGGGCTCTTCCACGAGGCGACATTCTGACTCGCCCCAGGAAACAATTGAGCAATGCGGCTGCAGAGGTACTGACAAGTCGCATTGCCTGCAATGCCAAAACTGCACATTTGCGAGGTTTTCTACGCCCCGGAATTCGAGTCCCGCGATATTTGCGACAAGAGCGCCTGAATGATACATCGCTAGCGTCGTGCCAGGCGCCTCTCTCCTCCTGTCTAGTTAATTCACCGAAGCGTCTGAGCACCGGACAGGGAGCCTTCGAAGCGTCGTGCCCGAGGCGTCACGTACATATACAAGGCAACCGCACAAAGCAGAAGCGTCACATTCAACCAGAACTGTCCAAGAGGCTGAGTGCCGGGCCTAATCGCCTTCCCTGCTGCTGTTACCACGGCGTTTGCGAGGTTTCCAGAGCCAGCGGAATTCCACACCGACCACGGCCGTTGCTTTTGAACTACAGGCGCTTCACTCTATGCACTCGAACTGTATGCACTTGGACAACTGTATGCACTTATATGGTTGTATACTCTGTGCACTGCACTTCTATGCACTTCAACTGCATGGTATTCACATTCGAGTCCCACGAGATGTGCGAGGTTTTCGACGCCCCGGAATTCGAGTCCCGCGATATTTGCGAGGGTTTCGACGCCCCAGAATTCGAGTCCCACGATTTTTGCGAGGTTTTCGAGGCCCCGGAATTCGAGTCCCACAATGCTTGCGAGGTTTTTTTCGACGCCCCGGAATTCGAGTACCGTGATATTTGCGACCCGGAATTCGAGTCCCACGATATTTGCGAGGTTTTGCGAGGTTTTCGGCGGCTGTCCTAGAAGCGCGCGCCGGCCCTATTCAGTACTACTTTTGTACTACAGAAATGGATTTGGTGCGGGGGGCTGTGAGGATTTGGAGAGCCTAAAAGTGCGCGCCGGCCCTAGACAGTACTATTTTTGTACTAGAGAGGAGCATTTTGAGAGGGGGCCCTATACAGTACTAGTTTTGTACGTTTTCGGTCAACAACGCAAAAACATGAGGGTTTTAGCACCTCTACCACGCGGAAACCCGCAGAGGGATTGCGTTTGTATGTCAAAAAACGCAAAAACATGAGGGTTTTGGCACCGCGACCACGCCGAAACCCGCAGAGGGTTGACGCGCGCACGAAAAGATGCGCGAAAACCCAGGGCTTTAGCACCGCGACCACGCCGAAACCCGCAGAGGGTTGTCCGCGGCGCGCAAGAAACGCCGAAACCCGCGGAGGGAAGCAATGCCGATCGATGACGACAACCCTACCCACCGCCTTAAACAGATTGATTTTAATTAAGAAACGTATGATTGGGTACGAAAGTCTACCAAATTCTATTAAAAATCTTGTAAATTCTACTAAATTGTATTAAAATCTCGTAAAGTCTATTATATTGTACTAAAATCTCGTGAATCTGCACTAGACTCTGTGCACTTCACTCTATGCACTTCACTCTATGCTGTTGGGTCTGTGTACTTCACTCTTGCACTAGACTCTGTGCACTTCACTCTATGCACTTCACTCTCTATGCACTTCACTCTATGCACTTAACTCTATGCACTTCACTCTATGTTGTTGGGTCAAAGGGCTCCGCACGGAAGAACCCTTCGCGCTGCTGTCGGGAATTCCTAGCGCTTCGATAACATCCTCGCAGTAAAAAACGGAGATAAGGAGAGAACAAGAGAGGGTTTTTCTTGTGTTTTCTGAGTTTTCTTCCAATGATTTTTCTTCGCTCTTGTCTTCTCAACTGCCCTTCTCTCAGGACTCGACGGTGCGCACCATCTTCACGGACACCATGACCTCCGACTCGGAGGTGTCGGAAGGCGTGGACGCTCGGTGCTGCGGGGAGTTTCCCTCTCTCTCTCTCTTCTCTTTGGCATGGGGGTGAAGAGCTTCTGCTCTTAGGAGAGACAGGGAGAGAGAGAGAGAGAGAGAGAGAAAGACAGAGAGAGAAAGGGGGTCCTCCAAAGCGTGGAGAAGAAGAAGAAGAAGAAGAAGAAGAAGAAGAAGAAGAAGAAGAAGAAGAAGAAGAAGAAGAAGAAGAAGAAGAAGAAGAAGAAGAAGAAGAAGAAGAAGAAGAAGAAGAAGAAGAAGAAGAAGAAGAAGAAGAAGAAGAAGAAGAAGAAGAAGAAGAAGAAGAAGAAGAAGAAGAAGAAGAAGAAGAAGAAGAAGAAGAGAGAGAGAGAGAGAGCGAGAGAGAGCGAGAGGAGGAGGGGGAGGGGGAGGAGGGGGAGAGGCCTGCTTTCTGCTCGGCACCAGTTGTGCAGGGATGGAGTCTGTGGAAGCAGCCTTGGATGGTGCCCGCTCCCCTGCTTTCCCAGCAGCACCGAAAAGTGGTTTTGCTTTACGCTCACGGGAGATCTGCCCTCTGAGACCATCTCTTTGCTTCATGCTCTCAGAACTGGACTGATGTCCCGCACGTGTCTCTTTAGGTGCTGCGCCGACTGCCTGGGGTGAGCCCGGAAGGCTTGGAGGAGGCGCCCCCGAAAGAGAAAGAAGATTTCGGGAGAAAGTAGCACAGGAAAAGCAGTTAGAAGGAAGAGAAGAGAGAAGGAGAGAAAAGGAGAGAACACCAGAGGCCCCCCGAATACCGGGGCGGGCGAGGACGCCCGGGGGTTCGCCCCCATGCCCCCAAGAAAGAAAGAAAGAAAGAAAAGGAGAGAAAAGGAGAGAAAAGGAGAGAAAAGGACAGAAGGAAGGAAGCGAAGAACGGAAGGAGGCGACGCACTGGGTACGGGGGGAAAAGCCCCCACATGCCCGAGAGCGCTCTCCCCACAAGGGAACCAAGGCAGGGGCAATTGGGGCACTTTTCGTTCGGGAGGGAAGCGCTGCGAGGCGCTCCGGCGCTCCGTGGAGCGCATGATGGACCGCCGATTGGCTCTGTCAGAGGCGCTGGAGTTGTATCGTACGGTGTCTAAACCCAAGAAGAGTCAAAAGGATTCAGAGTTCTTTTTTGATTCAGGCAACATGTCGCATCATGGTCACTGCATGTCGACACAGTGCATGGAGGAAGGGATCCAGGCGCTACCCAAGGCGCGTGATGGGAGTTCGGACTGGCCGAATGACGGAAATGCTCAGCCGCTCAGCCCCACCGAACCTGGTAGGTGCAGTTTGGGCACCCAGATGCCCCTCGCGAGGTGCCGGTGCTCAGCACCACAATGAGGCTTTGGCCCGTAAGGCAGGTTGAAGAGGGCTATGGGAAGCTGGGGAGCTCCTCTCCAAGAGCAGCTTTTCGAAGCCACCGGTGAGCTGTGGCTGAATATGGGCCAAATGCGAATTTGCATCTCCAAGAGCAGCGCGGAAACCGTGTACGACTTGAATGCTCAGGGGATTATGCGGGGATACTTTGCAGTTGGGCACTCCAGGGAGTCTACTGTTGAGGCTGGGCAGGCTGGGCAACCTAGGGATTTGTGGGGCAGACTCTGGCTTTGGGCGCTTCAAGGGATTCCCTTGGAGCTGGGCACGCCAGGGCTCTGCACTTTGCGGTTGGGCACTGCAGGGCACTGCCGGGTTTTGTGGGAGGCCTGGACACTCCAGGGATTCTCTGGGGGATATTTTGGGTTGTGCACTCCAAGAATTCTCAAAAGGATACTCTGAAATTTCCTTCTCTGAGGGATGCGCTGATTCGTCAACTGCACGTCTCACACTTGTCCTATGGCTTCTCGAGCACCTGCACCAGCTTTCGTTCCTGCCGTCCCCCACAAGTAAGAGACGCTGTCTTTCAAGGAGAGCCAATGCTCCATTTGCCTCGCCGACTACAAGGACCTTGCGTGGGAAAGGGGGGGGAGGGGGGAATAAGGGGGAATAAATTTGCATTCATATTCAAGAAGGGCACAAAGAGCAACGACGAAGAGAGCGCTCGGAGAGCAGCGGAGCGCGAGGACGGCGAGCTGCTGAACGGGCTCCGATGCGGCCACTTCTTCCACGCGGCCCGCGGCCCGCTCTCGCTGCTGCTCCGTTCTCTCTCATTTTTCTCTCTCCTCTCTCCTCTCTCTCCTCTCTCTCCTCTCTCCTCTCTCTCTCTTTCTCTCTTTACTTCTCTCCTTTTGAAAAAGGACCACTGAGAACATGTGTCCATCTCTCCCCGCTGGCGAGGAGTGCATCGCGCGCTGGCTGAAGAGCTCCGACCAGTGCCCTCTTTGCCGCTGCTCTCAGGCAGACGGATAGCACAACTTCGCGCCAGACGGTGTACGGCTGTACGGTGTGGAATTCGGTGCAATGAGTTGTGCTCAGCAGCTTGTACATAGAATGGCTTCGGCTGCCGCAGCCCTCACTCAAAAAGATCGAGAAAAGAATGAGGCATCTGCTTACAGCAATACACAGCATGAGAGAGAGACCGAAAAACACAAACCAAATCACGACCCCTCCGGGGGGGCGGTTTGCCCATTCCGTTCGTTGTTCTTGTTGCTCTTGAGAGAAGAAGAGCGACAAGTGGGGCCTAAGTAGTACTAAGTAGGGCCTCTCAAGGACTTGCCTCGAACAAAGCCACCTCCGAAGGACCAGGCCCGGATCAGCTTCTTGCTCTTCTTCCTCTTTTTGCGTTGAAGCTTCTTTGCTCCTAAAAATACATGATTAGCTGGAAGAAACTAGCAGACCCTAGAGATGAGTGAGATATATTGGTGAAGAGGCGAGAGAACAGGAGGAAAAACAGGAGCAATCGAAGTCTTAGGTGGCGGAGCTGCTGGCTCCGGGAAGTGCAGCCTCAGCGCGGGCCCCGGGCCCCCAATCTGGCCCCAATCTTGAACAGCCGCTCGCCCGGAAAAATCTCCCCCCCCCCCCCACCTTTGGCTTTGGGATCCATGGAATGCGTGTTTTCGTCCGTGCCAGGACAGGCAGGACACACCCAGAAAACCCCGCAGCCGAAGGCCACAGATCAGCACCTTTGAGGACCGAGTAACAAAAACCCGGTGCCATAGCACATGTTACGATTGTTACGCACTGGCCAGTTGTTAACTGATTTGTTATCTGATTTCCGTGAGTCAAGGAGGCTTACCCCGGCCTCATTCCTCACAGAGATCGTGGGGGCTTGCTGGCTTTGCAAGCGCAAGTGACGCAAGGCGCCTGCCCGACTTGCGCATCTCTCACACAGTCCTGACTTCCCCACTCGCAGGGCGACGAAGTGCAAGGCCTGCGCAGGTCGGGATGGCTATCGAGCCGGTTGAACTTGTGTTTCGTGATTCGTGCCACATGTGCATGTTGTGCAGATGCTTTCACTTCCATCGCCACAACATAGCCGCTTTGCCTTACCAGCATCGGTCATGGACCAAGAATGGCGGCGTCTCGGGTGCGGCCCTGTTCAATCGGACCCACTGGCCCAACGTGCCTCTTTCAGCGCCTCTTCTTTCATTCGCTGTTCCTGACCTGGCTGGCATGGCTGGCCTGGAGTCCCATTGAGGGCATTGGGAGGGTGTTCACCAGCCCAGTGACGGACCAGAAGTCACGCGTCAGACTCCGCTTCAACGACGGGGACAAGGAGTGCGAAGATGTCCATCGCAAGAAGACACGGCACATGAGGGGGGATGAGGGGGATGAGGGGGATGAGGGGGTGCGCGAGATGGTGAGCGAATAAGAGCAAAGGTGTGCGAGTCTGAGTGTGCCTTCGCCCAGCGGCTCTGGGAGTGCCAGGACCTCCGAGCGGCAGGATCTCTGCAAACAGAGTCGGCTCGATCGGCTGGATATGACTACGACGACCTGCCCAGGAGTCCGGCCTATCATCCCTGTGTTTCCACAGCATCTTCCAGATCACATGTGTGTGTGTGTGTGTGTGTGTGCGTCTCGTTTGTTCCTTAATTTGTCCCGTCAACCTTAATGTGGGCCACCTGATCTGCGCAGGGAGTTTGACCGCGAAGTTCTCCTGAATTTCTTCAGTTCAAGACCCGCAGAAATTGCCTGGCGATGGTCGGAGAGACTTGGAGAATGCCATGCCACTAATGCCTTATGAAGCACTGTATGCGCTTGCCTTCGTTGTGATTTGTGTGTTGAAGTTGTGGTCGAAAAAGTCTCTCAACGCCGCGTCTTCGAGGATCTGCGGCGAGCTGTGGCCCGTATGGACACTGTGGCACGAGGAGGAGACGATGCCGGACACATCGAAGAGGACGCGGGGCGCAAGGTTGCGCGAAGCCCTGTCCAAGCTGGGCCCCGTCTTCGTGAAGATCGGGCAGCCACTTTTCGCTTCTTAGAGAGAGAGAGAGAGAGAGAGAGAGAGAGAGAGAGAGAGAGAGAGGGAGAAAGTGAGAGAGCGAGAGACAGAGAGAGAGAGACAGACAGAGGGCGGGGAGGGGCAGGAGAGGTGCGGAGAGGTGCTGGATGCGAGAGGTTTCGTTTGCTCTCATTTTCCCACCTAAGGACTCTCTCCGAAAGACCGGACCTCATCGGCGACCTCTGCTGCAATCTGCGATTTAAGGAAGAGAAAACTGAGAAAACACAAAGGAGCAAAGGGTCGAAGGGTCAACACTTGACTTCTCTCCCTCTCCCTCTCTCAGTTTGCAAAGGTGATGAAGCCTGTGACGAGCTGAAGCTGCTGCAGCAGGATACCCGAAAAGGGGGCCCATGTCGCCCATGTCGTGCTTTTCCTCCCGTACTTCTAGCTCCGCGAGGAGAATGAGCCCTTCAGCACGGACGTGGCCTTTGACATTATCCTTGAGGATCTGCGCCACAACGGGCCCCTCACACCCGGTGGATACGGTGGACACACGGGAGACAGCAACGATCCCACAGCCGCTCGCTCTCTCAACCGGGAGAGAGGAGAGAGAGAGAGAAGAGAGGAGAAAGAAAGGAGAGAGGAGAAAGGAGAGAGGAGAGAAAACAAAAGCAATAAGACAGCTTTCTCTTCGGGAGTGCAGAGAGTTTGCAGTCTTCTCTTCTCTGCTTTTCTCTCCTCTTCTTCTCCTCTTTGCTTCTCTTTCTTGTCCGGGGGGGAGTGGAGTGACCAGGATCCCCCTCCCCCGCCAGGCGCCACCGCTGCTGGCCGAGGCGCCACCGGAGCGGTTTGCTCTACACAACGTTCGAAAGTGTTCTCTCTCTCTCTCTCTCTCTCTCTCTCTCTCTCTCTCTCTTTCCATTATCTTCAGAGTCTAGAGATTTCTCTTTCCTTTGAACCTGAAGAACTTAGGAGAAGCTCTCAGAGTCTCTCAGACGGTCCATGTTCTCTCAACATTTTGTTGCTGCTTACTGTGCTTACTGTGCTTACTCCTGTTCCCAATCAGAGAGAGTCTTTGCAGATCTCCGCAGAGCCTGTGGCCGCAGCTTCGCTGGGCCAAGTCTACTATGCCAAGACGCTGGATGGCCGAGAAGTTGCTATCAAAGCAGCTTGGGGGGAAAATCGAGTCGAGAGTGAATTGATGTTGCGTGTGTTGACCCGTGACCGTGTTGCAGGTGTTGAGACCTTGTTGAAAATTTAAGGTACAAAGGCCCGGGAGCTTGCGCCAGGCTCAAGCTGTTGTGATTTGGATAGAGACAGGCTCCCCAAGAGGATTCGCCCCACTCTCTGAGACGATGTGAGACGGGAGTGTGAGTTTGCTGAGTTTGCTGAGTTTGCTGCGTTTGGCTAGGTGGCGCTTGACTGGACGTGTTGGGCCCTTGGCCTCATGGCGATGGACATCTACTGGGGTGGCCAGGGCGATGAGATTCCGAAGGCAGGTTCATGGCAGTGACCGTAGACTGCCAAGTTCACTGCGAAGGATGTGTCCTTATCATTATCTGATGATCTCCCGGACTCCCGAATCTCTGCAGGCAGTTACTGTAGTTGCTGCCGCCTGCTCAGATCGCGGACGAAGTTGCCCAAGGCGTCTTCAAAGTACCTCAGAGGCAGAAGGGAGATGATTCCTGAACATGTTTGTGCCGATGTCGGGCTCGTAGGCCCCGAAGGCTCGAGTCCGTGCTTCTATCTGTGATGCTATCAAATACTATTAGCTTCTTCCAACTCCTTCATGCCACGACGGTGAGAAACATCAGATCGGGCTCCGCAGTGCCTCAGCGACTGTGATAAGGAACTGGACTACCACAATGAGGCTCGAAATGCAGAGATCTTCCTGAAGAAGCACAAGTTCTTGCCTTTTGTCACTGCTCCACAGTGGGTGCCGGAACTAACCGGACCAAAGGGGACAGCCCGGGTGCTGACCCTTGAGTGGATCCACGGGCGCAAGCTGCAAGACATTGAAAGCCAGGAGCCGCCTCAAAGCATGCCAAATATCTGTCATAGACATTGCCGGTCAGTTTGGTCGGTTTGGTCAGTTTGGTCCACCAACGAGGAGGAAAGAATGCAGATGGTGGACATGGCAGTGGAGGCTTGCGTCTCATCCTTGGTCTTCACCGGCTTCGTCCATGCCGATCCACACGCGGTGCTTCGGATGAAGCTTCAGCAAGCCAGTTTAAAACAAGCACAGAGGCGCCGCCTGCTTCAGAATGAGAAAGACTCGAGGAGTCGATTGCTTGGCCCCTTTTGAGACTTGCCCCCAATTTGCCGCCCACCATTGCCCACAACGCAAGATTTTCCCTTTCCGTCTTCTCGGCATGCCCCCTCCCCGCCCCCCCCCATACCCCGGAGGTGTTCTCGGTCGGGATTGGCCGTAGGTTGGGTATTTGTGGCATGTGGACTGGTTCACTGAAGCACCCGCGCAGTTGCAAAATCTAAGGGGAACATGCTTCTGACAGAGGATGGACGTCTGGCATTTCTAGACTTCGGCCTTATGGGAACGGTTGAGCCCCGCATTATGGATGCTCGGATACAACATGCGTCCAGCTCACGTGTCGCAGGATGTACACAGACACACGTCAAGAGCGCGCGCCTCTGCCTTGCCCCTTGCTCAGGAGGGCTTCGCTGCGGGAATTCAGCACTTGCTGGCCGAGCGCTGGTTGCCACTTGCCAAAGTCATGCAAGGCTCCCCGGCTCCTGGTAGCCTTTGCAGCCTTTGCCTTGCAAAGGCTCAGACTATATCTCTTTTCCAGAAGTCAGCGCTAAGAGAGGAAGAAGCTCTCATGCTCTGTGTCAGATGTGGGCTTTATGGCCGTGGGCGAGGAAGGCGGCTTCAAGAAGGTCGTCGATCCCACCGCTCGGGTCACTGGGCAAACGAGGGCATATGAGCTCATATGAGGGCATGACTTCAGCATTTTTTGGGAAACGACTTTTGTCGAGGTCTTCGAGTACACGAGCTGCCCCGACGAGGAGTTCGCTGCGGCGCTGGAGGCATCGATGAAAGCGGAGGAAGGCGGCCTGAGCCGCTTTGGCGCTCTGGCGGGGGCTCTCACAAAGCTCTCGGACAGATATCACATGACCATGCCAGGCGCAATCTCGCCATCTTGACGTATCTCTCCCGCTCTCTCTCTCTCTCTCTCTCTTCTCTCTCTCTCTCTCTCTCTCTCTCTCTCTCTCTCTCTCTCTCTCTCTCTCTCTCTAGCTCTTGAAGTGGACTCTCGCACTGCCCTTGCCCTTGGGCTGCCCTTGCAGGCTACATCATCCTCTTCATCCGGACTTTCTTGACCTTGGAAGGGATCGCTGGGGTCGTGAAGCTCGGCTTTGACTCCTAAAGTGTTCTCTCGCATTTTTTCAGTTCCTTCAAAGGAGCCACCCCCCCCCCCCAAAGTGTTCCTCAAGTGTCCGCGTTTTTGCTGCAGGAAGCCGGACTTCAACATCTATGAAGCATCCTTGCCCTATGCGCTACAACGAGCTCTCTCTCCCCAAACTGAGGCGCCCCCGGCCTTTCGACCCACCTCTCTCAGAATCTCAGTCCTCCCCTCACACCCTTTTTTTTGTTCTTTCGCTCTCTCTCTCTCTCTCTGTCCATGCTCTCTCTCCCGTTCTCTCTCGTGTTCTCTCGTTGGCTCCTTCGATGGGAGAGGAGGCGGTGGCCGCGCTGCGCGAGACCTGGGTGACGGAGACGGGCGCGCCGCGCTGGGACACGCTGGAGGCCTTGGCCCAGAGCTTGGCCCGGAGCGCCGACAGCGGCGCGAGCGGCGCCGAGATCAAAGAGGAGGGCACTCCGGGCTACGGCGAGGCCCGTGTGAAAGCCATGTAAAAGTTAAACGCCATGTCGGCCGGCCCCTTCCTAAGTCTCGTTGGTGTTTGTCGAGCATCCTCTTTATGATTTTGTTTATTTTGTTCTTTCTTTGCTGTACAAACGGCATCAAGCCAAGAATACATGTGGGATGGCCATGGCCCAGACACATGCAGTGTTACAATCTCTCAACAATCCATCGCCGGTCCATGATCCACACCTCTTGAATGTTTGCCATGTTCTTGAGTCTTGTTTTATTACAAGATCATGCAAGCATGACACGACGCGCGCCAAGCCAGCATGCAAGGGATTCTCCAGCCCAAACGCAAAGACATAGGTGTTGCCCATTGTTGCACCTATCTGCAAGCTGCAAGCCTTGCCTGCAACAATGACTTGCAGAACGCTTGAGAGCTTCACAAGGGCTCGCAGGAGAGCGAGCAGTTGAGCTCAACTGCCTGCCTCTCTGCCTCTGCAGGTTCTGCGCCGGGTCGTGGCATCTCCGGAGGGCCGCGCGCTGCGGCGCATCCTTGTGGACTTGGACTCTCGGGCGGTGCTGCTGGGCCTGGCAGGCCCCAAAGGGGCAAAGCTCCGATCCGTGGCGTCCCAAGCCCTCGCCGGACACCTGAAGAACTTCAAGGCCTCGAAGAGCAAGCCGACGAGCAAGCCGAAGGGCAAGCCGAACAGGAAAGCCGGCTACGAGGCAAGGCAACTGGAGAGAGAGAAGCAAGCACTAAGGGTCGCCGCCTGAGTGTGTTTTTGAGGGCAGTATACACATTCGTGACTCGTGTTCGACAGCTAACGAAGGGCTCACAGCGGGATCTAAAAGTCCAAAATGCGGCAATGCGGCAATGCGTTCTCTCGGAGCCGAGGTGATCCGTGGTGTTCAGTTTCAGCGCTTCCGTGGCTTCCGCGCCGTGCGCCTCGGAGTCGAGAGCGAGTCTCTAGCGGCTCTCTCGCGAGGCTCTAGCGGCTAGCGGATGAGTAGAGTGACTGTGTCTGTCGGAGACCGGCAGAAAAAGTAGCAGAGCAGAACCGAGGACGGCCGCCGCCGCCTTCCTGGGTCTCACAGCCAGGGTCTCCTTTTCGGCTTTGTTCAAGGCCGTTCGATTTTCGGGCCACAGAACACCTGAAGCGAGATAGCATCTCTGCGTGTTCTCTGCGTTTTCCCCGTGTTTGGGCCCCCCCCCAAAACATCTTCGAGGTGTTTCCGTCGAATTCGTGTCAGGAAGCATGCCGAGCACTTCCCCTTTGCCAAAGTTGCACATTGGGCAACCGCTAGCGGCAGTTAACCAGTTAACAGCAGCCAAGTACGTCCTCTGCACGATGGAGTCCCGTGCGGCGCCCCGCGAAGCCTGGAGCGCCCACACTGAAGTGTCAGCAGCTCTCGGGCTCTCGGGAGGCGCCCATTTGAAGGCACTTCGCTCGCGCTGCAAGCGCTGCAAAAATTCTGCCATCTCTGGTGTGCTCGAGTATGTAACTCGATCCACCTGAATGGAGCAACGGATTGCAATGATGCCAGCGGACGAAAGGGCCTTGTTTGGTTCGCTGTTTTGTGCACTTGCGTGCGCCTACGGCCTACGTGCGCCTACGTGTGCTTGTGGCTGTGGCCAGGCGACGGAAAGGACAGTGGTGCAGGAACCGCCAGAAGTTTGGAGGCCCGTGAAGCTGGATCTGTCTCCCCCAAGAGTGTTGGGGTCTGTATCATGTACATCAATGTCTATTTTTCTGCCTTTTCACAATGAGCAGACTCTGAGTCTGAGGAGTGAGCAGATCCAATTTTGGGGCAAAAACAATTTTGCTGGAATCCGCTGGTTTGTTCGCGAAGGAGCCCTTGGAAACTTGGAAAGAATTGGAAAGGGATGGAAAGGGAAATGCAAACAGTCAAACAGTCATATGCACGGGTCTGCTTTCCGAGTACGATTCGGGGCGCACTACCTCTTCTTGCTTCGAGCGGAGTTTTAGGGTCTCTTTTTGCGTCTCCCTCGGAGTTGCGGAAGCTCCTTTGAGACATTTTTCATGTTCGGGCACTGTGTGGAACGGACAAGGAATGGAGAGGAAGTGGGGGTCGCCTGTCAGTTTTGCGTTTTGCAGCCCCGCAAACAGCGAGGTCCGCTCTTTGACTCTGATTTCTAGGCCCTAGGCAGCCCCAGCAAATGATGTAAAGAGGGGAGTCCCCCATGCCTGGGAGGCAGCAGCTCCAGAAAGACATGGTTCCTCAGGAGGCTTTGGTAGCCGCTTCGAGGTGGAGACCCCTTCACAACACTCTCACAACCCTGCGCCCTGCATTCACAAACGGTTCTCCATGTGCGATGAACTGCCACACTGTGGGTGCGGTTGTGGGATGCTGTTCCTCTCGGCATGTCACGAGGTCTGAGTGGAGGCGCCAGCACCGCACCCGCGAGGAGCAAGAGACGCGGTGGCGCCGGCAGTTGACGCTTTCGGCTGCAAAAATCAGAGAGAGGAACTGTGCAATTTTTGTGAATCTGAGAGCAGTCAATTATAAGTCTGATGGCACCCAAGGTTTGAAGGTTTAGCGCTTTGCTCTCGCCATGTCCAGCTCAAGTTGTGCTGAGGAGGCACCAACAGCGAGGCCCTGAATCAGAAGGCGCTGGGCCGTTGAGTAATCCAGTGTTGTGAAGGGGGGGGAGCACGTGTGGCCCGAGAAGAAACGCAATGGTTTGTCGCTGTCAAGCTGCAGCAAGCATGTGGCAGTAAGCAGCAAGCGCGGAAAATCACAAGGCCTGTGGCCTTTTTTGGCCACTCAAAGCAGTTGTCTTGTCAGGTACATTTCAGAGTGCCGGCCTTGGCGTTGACCAGTGTTGTGCGAGACAGTGTCGCAGTGTTGTTACTCTCTTGCCATAATCAGCGCATGTATTGGCATGTATGGCCTTCTCATGATCGCAACAACTCCGGTTTTGTTGCAAGAGTGCCCAGCTGGCACCTGATGTCACCCAGACAACGGAGCACCGGGGCTGCTCGCAGCGAAGGGTTGTGGCTAACCCTTCGCTGAAGCACCGGGGCTGCCCTCAGTGAAGGGTTGTGGCTAACCCTTCACTGAAGCACCGGGGCTGCTCTCAGCAAAGGGTTGTGGACTGAAGCATGGGGGACTGCTCTCAGTGAAGGGTTGTGGCTAACCCTTCACTGAAGCATGGGGGCTGCTTGCAGTGAAGGGTTGTGGCTAACCCTTCACTGAGGGCTTCTTGCAGTCACGGGTTGTGGAAGACCCTTCACTGAAGCATGGGGGCTGCTCGCAGTGAAGGGTTGTGGCTTACCTTTCACTGAAGCATGGGGGCTGCTCGCACTGAAGGGTTGTGGCTAACCCTTCACTGAAGCACCGAGGCTGCTCTCAGTGAAGGATTGTGGCTAACCCTTCGCTGAAGTGCACAAGCTGCTCTTAGTGAAGGGTTGTGGCCAACCCTTCACTGAAGCGTGGGGGCTGCTCTCAGTGAAGGGTTGTGGCCAACCCTTCACTGAAGCGTGGGGGCTGCTCGCAGTGAAGGGTTGCGGCTAACCCTTTACTAAAGCACCAGGGCTGCTCTCAGTGAAGGGCTGTGGTAAACCCTTCACTGAAGCGTGGGGGCTGCTCGACCCTTCACTGAAGCACCGGGGCTGCTCTCAGTGAAGGGTTGTGGCCAACCCTTCACTGAAGCGTGGGGGCTGCTCTCAGTGAAGGGTTGTGGCTAACCCTTCACTGTTGCGGGCTGCTCTCAGTCAAGGGTTGTGGCCAACCCTTCACTGAAGCGTGGGGGCTGCTCTCAGTGAAGGGTTGTGGCTAACCCTTCATTGCAGCGTGGGGGCTGCTCGCAGTGAAGGGTTGTGGCTAACCCTTCACTGAAGCACCGGGGCTGCTCTCAGTGAAGGGTTGTGGTAAACCCTTCACTGAAGCACCGGGGCTGCTCTCAGTGAAGGGTTGTGGCTAACCCTTCACTGAAGCGTGGGGGCTGCTCGCAAAGAAGGGTTGCGTAGCGCCGGGGCGCGTAGCACCGGAGCTGCTCTCAGTGAAGGGTTGTGGCCAACCCTTCACTGAAGCACCGGGGCCGCTCTCAGTGAAGGGTTGTGGCCAACCCTTCACTGAAGCACCGGGGCTGCTCGCAGTGAAGGGTTGTGGCTAACCCTTCACCATAGCACCGGGGCTGCTCTCAGTGAAGGGTTGTGGCCAACCCTTCACTGAAGCGTGGGGCTGCTCTTAGTGAAGGGTTGTGGCTAATCCTTCACTGAAGCGTGGGGGCTGCTCTCAGTGAAGGGTTGTGGCCAACCCTTCACTGAAGCGTGGGGGCTGCTCTCAGTGAAGGGTTGTGGCGAACCCTTCACTGAAGCGTGGGGGCTGCCCTTAGTGAATGTTTCTGGGCAACCCTTCACTGAAGCACCGGGGCTGCTCTCAGTGAAGGGTTGTGGCCAACCCTTCACTGAAGCGTGGGGGCTGCTCTTAGTGAAGGGTTGTGGCCAACCCTTCACTGAAGCGTGGGGGCTGCTCTCAGTGAAGGGTTGTGGCCAACCCTTCACTGAAGCGTGGGGGCTGCTCTTAGTGAATGGTTCTGGCCAACCCTTCACAGAAGCACCGGGGCTGCTCTCAGTGAAGGGTTGTGGCCAACCCTTCACTGAAGCGTGGGGGCTGCTCTCAGTGAAGGGTTGTGGCGAACCCTTCACTGAAGCGTGGGGGCTGCTCTCAGTGAAGGGTTGTGGCCAACCCTTGACTGAAGCTTGGGGGCTGCTCTTCGTGAAGGGTTGTGGCGAACCCTTCACTGAAGCGTGGGGGCTGCTCTCAGTGAAGGGTTGTGGCCAACCCTTCACTGAAGCGTGGGGGCTGCTCTTAGTGAAGGGTTGTGGCGAACCCTTCACTGAAGCGCGGGGCTGCTCTCAGTGAAGGGTTGTGGCCAACCCTTCACTGAAGCGTGGGGGCTGCTCTTCGTGAAGGGTTGTGGCGAACCCTTCACTGAAGCGTGGGGGCTGCTCTCAGTGAAGGGTTGTGGCCGACCCTTCACTGAAGCGTGAGGGCTGCTCTTAGTGAAGGGTTGTGGCGAACCCTTCACTGAAGCGTGGGGGCTGCTCTCAGTGAAGGGTTGTGGCCAACCCTTCACTGAAGCGTGGGGGCTGCTCTTAGTGAAGGGTTGTGGCGAACCCTTCACTGAAGCGCGGGGCTGCTCTCAGTGAAGGGTTGTGGCCAACCCTTCACTGAAGCGTGGGGGCTGCTCTTAGTGAAGGGTTGTGGCGAACCCTTCACTGAAGCGTGGGGGCTGCTCTCAGTGAAGGGTTGTGGCCGACCCTTCACTGAAGCGTGAGGGCTGCTCTTAGTGAAGGGTTGTGGCGCACCCCTCACTGAAGCGTGGGGGCTGCTCTCAGTGAAGGGTTGTGGCCAACCCTTCACTGAAGCGTGGGGGCTGCTCTTAGTGAAGGGTTGTGGCGAACCCTTCACTGAAGCGTGGGGGCTGCTCTCAGTGAAGGGTTGTGGCCGACCCATCACTGAAGCGTGAGGGCTGCTCTTAGTGAAGGGTTGTGGCGAACCCTTCACTGAAGCGTGGGGGCTGCTCTCAGTGAAGGGTTGTGGCCAACCCTTCACTGAAGCGTGGGGGCTGCTCTTAGTGAAGGGTTGTGGCGAACCCTTCACTGAAGCGTGGGGGCTGCTCTCAGTGAAGGGTTGTGGCCAACCCTTCACTGAAGCGTGAGGGCTGCTCTTAGTGAAGGGTTGTGGCGAACCCTTCACTGAAGCGTGGGGGCTGCTCTCAGTGAAGGGTTGTGGCCAACCCTTCACTGAAGCGTGGGGGCTGCTCTTAGTGAAGGGTTGTGGCCGCCGACCCTTCACTGAAGCGTGAGGGCTGCTCTTAGTGAAGGGTTGTGGCGAACCCTTCACTGAAGCGTGGGGGCTGCTCTCAGTGAAGGGTTGTGGCCAACCCTTCACTGAAGCGTGGGGGCTGCTCTTAGTGAAGGGTTGTGGCGAACCCTTCACTGAAGCGTGGGGGCTGCTCTCAGTGAAGGGTTGTGGCCAACCCTTCACTGAAGCGTGGGGGCTGCTCTTAGTGAAGGGTTGTGGCGAACCCTTCACTGAAGCGTGGGGGCTGCTCTCAGTGAAGGGTTGTGGCCAACCCTTCACTGAAGGGTTGTGGCGAACCCTTCACTGAAGCGTGGCTCGCAGTGAAGGGTTGTGGCCAACCCTTCACTGAAGCACCGGTGCTGCTCTCAGTGAAGGGTTGTGGCTAACCCTTCGCGGGCCTTGCATCAACAGATCGCAACCGATCGCAACTTCAACCTTGTTTTCCTTGCAGATTTGTGAGTATTGGTGGTTTCAAAGCAAACATCATAGAACTCCGTTGGCAACATGTATCCCACCCAGAACTGCTTCGTTCTCTCAGGTGCGGCAGAGACCGCCTCCGTCATCCCAGCAGGATTCGTGGATTCGTGAGAAGAACAGGGCACAAATGGTGTACTATGGTGTACACATCTGAAAAGATTCTGCAAACGATCCGGAGAGACGTGAGAGGACTCCGGCCAGCCAAGTGCATTGGTGACAGCCTGCAGCTTACGGGGCAGCAAGCGGCGGTGTCGCGCACGCGCGCCCTTTGCTGGTCTCCAGTGACTCCAGTGAGCACTTGGAGCGCATCCCCCCTAGAGTGGGAAGCTGCATGCAGCTACATGCAGCTACATGCAGCTACATGCAGCTACATGCAGTTTGCGGGGAGAAGCTGTGGGAATCCTGGCGCAAAAAGTGTCCAAATCTCACAAACTGCTGGGCCGAGTATGGGGCACAAAACGTCCCTTCAAGTCCCGGGAGTGATGACGGTGTGAAGCACGGTGAAGCACGTTTGTTTGGATGTTTTTTGATGGCTTTCCTGAGGCTTCCCCGACGGCATTAAGCTTCCGCTCTTTGGGCAGGCCGGAACATGGCCGCTCGCGTTCGCACGCCGTGAGCACCAAGGGATCTCTTTGGAGTTACTCAGTTCTCTTCGTTCTTCATGCGTTTTGGTCTCTCAGTCTCATTCTAATTTTAACGCTACGCGACCCGCCTCGGCCCGGCCCAGCGCATCCGCGTGAGCATGGTGATTCCGCAGCGCCCAAGTCGCTGGACCCCAAGCAATAAGGGTTGGGTTGAGGGTTGAGGGTTGAGGGTTCCGGGTTTATGGTTATGGTTTGGGGTTTGGGGTTGAGGGTTAGTTTAGGGCTCAAGGTTCTGCTTTAATCGAGAAGTGCCTTTGCTCTCTCATTCGGAGAGGATCTGCCGGATCCCATTTGGACGCTGAACACCCCGTGGTTGGAACGCCTGCGCAACGGGCCTCCGCCCCCGAAGGCAAGGCGTCAGCCAAAAGAGCAGTCAAGTAATGAGCAGGGGGCGCGCCGTCCCAAAAAAAGATGCTCAGAACTCACAGCGCTGTGTTTTGGTGCGCAGGAGGAGACTCCGTGGTTGCATGAGGATGACGAGTCGTGGGATTCCGAGAGCGACAGCGAGATCAGAAGTCTCAAGTGTGGCTTCCATCCTTTCTTTGAGAGAGAGAGCCTGTCTTCCTTTAGAAGAGAGCCTGTCTTCCTTCAGAGGAGCTCATATTCGGGCTGAGTCTGATAAGTTTCGTTCCTTTCAGTGTGGAGGCCCTGACTTTATCTGCGCAGGCATTTCCAAAATGCATTGAGCTACGCAGCATCGCTCTGGACAACACGTTGCGCCATTTGGCACAGCAAACACTGACACAGCAGCAGCAGACGCCAAATCACAATGGACCTCTTGGGGCCAAAGCACAGTGGCGCTTTGGCTGCACCCACCTTGGCCGTTAAGAACTCACCATCCGCACGCGTAGCTCTCTTTGAAACCTTGAAAGGCACCCGCTGCGCCAGAAGCTCACCTTGGCCACCGTCACAGGCGCCTCGAAGAGGAGCAGCAGAGCATCCCCAAGAGCTCAAATGTTTCACTTCGAGAGCTGAGAGGCGACCTGTGATCTGTTCTGTTCTTCCGTGTTCTGTTCTGGGCAGAGCGTCTTATCAGAGAGAGAGAGAGAGAGAGAGAGACAGACAGACCCTCGGACGTCGCGCGCCTTTCGGGGCGGCCTTCCCTTCGGGGGGGGCTATGCGTGCAGGAGAGAGAGAGAGAGAGAGCGCGCAATCGTGTGGCCAAAAGAAAGGAAGCGTCTGAGATCTGATCTGAAAGGGGCCTTGATGAAACACGGTGGACCGAATCGAGAGTAGAATTTGACGTGGTAGTTTCTTTTTGATGCGTATACGTGAAGAATGCATGGAATCTGTTAGAGAGGAAGACTCAATCGAAGAGCATCTTTGCCAAAGAATCTTTGCCTGAGAGGAGTTCGGCCCTGGAGTGAGGGGGGGAGGCCTGTTCAGGCACCGCGTCCCAGTTGATCCTTGCGTGTCGTGTGCTTCTCCATTATACTTCACCAGGGCCCGGTGTTCTGTTCTGTACCCACACCAACAGACCTGAACACTGTAGTAGTAGGATTGCTTCTCCGCTTATTTCGCTGACCTTGACTACCTTGGTTCAGCTGTCCAAGCATGCGTAGCTTGGTGCAACCAACACGGTTGCAGTCCTGTCGGGTTCGAATTGGGGACCTCCATGACGGCGACGTTTGAAATGGCCCTTGGTGAGGTTCGTTCTGGGCCCGGAGGGAGGGCCTGCTGCAACAAGAGCCGCCCCCTGCTGCTAAGAAGCAAGCCTTGTTGCTTATAAAAGTCAAATAACTGAGCTGCAAGTAAGCATCAGAGCACAGTTTCTACAGAGACATGGACAGCGCGTCTCAAACCCAGCATCCTTTCTGACTGATCCTGACAAGCCGAAACTTTGCCCTGAGTCTTCCGCCACAAGCTGAGAAGCACGAAGTGCCACAAATGCTCCCCCTCCTCCCCCTTCCCTCGCCCCCTTTTCGCTTTGCACTTTGCAGACTTTTTTTTGCATCAGAATTCGCTTTAGAACTTCTGTTCCGAGAGTTCAACTCGCGAGGCTCACAGCATGTGCTTGGGCACATCCACGGAACCCAATGTTAAATCGGCCTTGGGCCGCAAATCTGCATACTCGGCATAGTCAAGAATGAAGGACTGATGGTGATGGCCTCGGCTGCGAATGCTTAGAGCACAGATACGACACTTCATGATACTGCCTTCCGCGAGTCCACAAGCGGAGCTTGACGCGCATTTCTCTCCTGAAAAGAAGACATGCAAACCGCCGGAGCTGGATGGACACCCAGGAGAGGGACCCGGGATGGGGGACTAGAAAGATGTGGATGTCATTGTAGAGATAGGTTGTGACGCGGTATCCCCAAAAAGCCAACTGCTCAAACTGCAGTTGCCTTGCGAAAGGAGGAACCCCAGCCAGGCAAATCCCGCCTTGGCGGGTGGCTGAAGCAGCTCGACATTCGACATATCTCTGAACGCACTCGTGTGAGCCTCCATTTAAACCGTAAGAGCAGCAGGACATATGCTTGGACCCTGTCAAGGTCAACAGCTGCTTCTTTGGAAGGCCATGTCAAGGACGGTGAACCATGTCTGTGTGTTTAGCAAAATCTGAGATTTGTTCAGCCAAGTCCATTTTGCCACGAAACCGAAGCATGAGCTCGAGCGGCCTGTTTGGCGAAAAGGCGCGAGATTGGACTCCACAGCACCAGCAGACCCTGTCCCGACAGACCCAAGTGTATCGAACTCTGCCTGTGGACAATGATCCACGTGTCACGTTGTGAGTTCGGCATACAAGTCACCTCAAGCATGGGACAAGTTGTGAAAAGTCAGTGATTCTCAGAGAACGGGTCTGCCACTTCCGCTTCAGTGGAGACAGCACGTTTGCTGCGCATTGAAACGTCGTTCCGATCAGTTCTGGGAGACGCAAATTTGTTTGACAGAAGCAGTTGCGTGTTGAAGTGAGTTGAACTGACTAAGGGCTCAGATGTGCTCTCAGGAGATCCGGGCCAATTCAAAGCTCATTGCTGCAGACATCCAGAATGCGCATCAGGAGGCGCGGGGCTCTGCTTTGCTCGCTTTCTAAGAGCCACGTGCAGCCGTTCAGGCCAAGACCAAGATCCAAAAGTCTTTGGCAGGCGCATAGCTGCCGTGGCTCCATGTTCATCCCACACCAAAATTCACAACACAATGCAGAGTGGTTCCACACCTCAGAGAGGTGGTGTTCTGGCCCCTGGCCTGGAGGAGGCGCCCCTTCTCTCTTTTTGGGGGAGGGGAGAGGGCAGAGGGCAGCTGAGAGCTGAGAGAGCACAACCGGTTGTGCGGTTGTGCAAAACGAGAGAGAGGTCCACATCGACGTCACCTTCGAGGAGGCGCCCTCTTGGACCGCTGGGGGGGGGGGGGGGAGAATTTGCTTCTCCTTCCAAATAAGTTCTCAGACTCAGAGCCAAACAAAACCCACACAGAGACGACCTGAGAAGGGAGCGAAAAGGAAAGACATTTAGCCCACCCTTTAGCCCAAGATTGAGAAGCGCCTGGCGCTTTGGTCGAAGACGGATTGTCGCTAATTGTCACATTCTTGAACGCCCCAGCCTTAACACTGGCCTGTGAAGTTCAGACAAAGAGCAAGCCAGAGACTGCGGCTCAGCCGTCTAGGGGATCTAACACTTGTACCGGTCCTCGGAAGCAATCCCAGCAAACAAAAATGCCCCAATGCTGGACCACGAGTACTTTTTGGTGGTTTTCGCCCTGGCGGCCTTCTGCCGAGTGGTCCGACATTTCAGATTTGTCAACGTCGGGTTGGGGTTTTTGGCTTGGTGCTTGCTGTAAGAGTTGCTGTCTCGAGCCCTCGTGAGGATGCATCAGCATCAAAGAAGAAGAGAAGAGTTGAGAGGCAACGAGGGAGAGCAGATGGGAGAGCGAGAGAGCCATGGAGAGAGACCGAGAGAGATGGCAAAACAAGAGAGAAACCTCCCGGGGAGCGCAGAACCGAAGCAGAGAGAGAGAGAGGGACCGGAGAGCAAAGAGAAAAACTCAGAGTGGGAGAGTGAAAGAAAACATCTTTGGGAGAAAGATGATGGTTCTTGTGGGGGGTTCGACACAGACCCGATTTCGCACGCCTTCGGCGAGCGGCCCCCCAGTCACTCGGAGAAGTGTGGAAATGCAGTTTTACGTGCGAAGGGAGCAGCAGGGGACCTATCTTCTTCACAAAGGGAAGTGCCAATACGGTGCTGCGGCGCCTTTCCTGGAAAGGAACAAAAGAACTCAAAAGAAAAACGAACTAAGACCTTGGGAGAGATTGACTCTGAGAACGCGCGGAAACGAGAAACGCTCTGAGCTCTCACTTTTTGCTGCCAAGAGTTTGGCTCCTTGGCTCAGGGCAGCCTTGGGCTGAACTTGGACTTGGCCGGCGGCCAGATCATCAAGATCACGCCCGGCGGCGCCTCGGCAGAGCTGTCACAAGGGCTGTCACAAGGGCTGTCAGGGCTGTCGTGTCACGGCCAAAGCAGAGCAGACGTAGCCTGCGACGTGATGTTGGTTACACGGTATGTTGTAGGGGGCCTTGCAGGATTCATGTTTCAGATTTTTGTCCGGACGGGCTTTTTTCGGGATTTGGGACCGTGAGGTGTTGTTCAACAGCAGTAGCAGCAGCAAGCGCAAGGCCACGACACCCTGAAAGGTTTGGACTGTTTCCACACCATGTGTAGCCGCGAGACCCTCATCTAGTCCAGAATCGTCGTAAGCGACGATGCACCAAAAAGCAAAACAACTGTACAGTAAGCGAAGACGCGCCGACAAGCAGCAACACCGCATAGTAGGTGAAGAGGAACCGATAAGCAAAACAACAGCACAGAAATCAAAGGCGCATGCCAAGAAGCAAAACAACCGCACAGCAAGCGAAGACGCACGGATAAGCAGAACAACCGGGAAGCCCATGGGTAGGAAATCCTCGTTGAAAGTGTGGAACATGCTCCCAACGGTTAGTATGCAGGGTGCTCATGAGGGCACGGGGCGTCAGGGTGGTGGCGGGTGCTTTGCGAGTCAGAACATGTGGGGATGTGGACTGTGAAGTGAGGAGGAAGGATGGGAGGGGGGATTGGAGGATATTGGAGGAAACTCTTTGAATTCCCCAAAATTCCCTCCGACTCGGTGGAGCGGCTAAGACCCAGACAGAGCAGCCGGGAGCGGGGAACGGGGCGATGTCAGGGGTTTCGAGTCGGTTTCGAGCGGATCTTCAACAGGAGGGAAGAGTCCGTCAGTAAGAGTAGGGAAGACAGGTGAGGAGGGTGAATCTCGGCATCACGAAGGAAACGCCGGAACGATTTTGCCAGCATTTCTTGCCAGCCGCAAATGTTTGTTTCCTCCTGGCACGCGGAGATCCCAGGCCAGGCCGAGACCCTGGGCCTCCGCGTGCAGGCCGCGCAGATTGCTGTTGGTGTTTCATCCCTCTCCATCAATCAACCCTCGTAGTCAGACGATGTTCATTTGCCTGTCGCGTAGACTTCTTGTGTCTATTTTTTGGAGATGAACTGCTTGATTCAAGTTGAATGCTCTCGTCGCTCTCGGGCTCTCGGCGGTTTCGGTTTCACTGCAGGACCGGCTCGTGGCCGTCCGAGGCCACGTCTTGCCAGCGCCAACGGACCCCAGCTTCCAAGAGGCGACACGCGGAGAGAAGAGAGAACTCTTCTCGGAGACTCTTGTCAACCTTCGCAGACAACGAAGAATCTGCCAACAGAAGAAGGGACTGAAGTTCGACTGAAGGGAAAGAGAGAAGTGGAGAGTGTTATTCGGAAGCTTTCGGCTGGCCAGGTCACAAAGAAGCAGCTTGCTGATGCCAAGCAAAGACCTGCGCATGACTTGGCAACTCTCGGGGCTTGATGAGTAGCACGGCGTAGCGCGGCGTAGCACTGCGTAGCACTGCGTAGCACTGCGCAGCACTGCGTAGCTGTGTAGCATCGTGTAGCGGCTGCTTGCGACAGGGACTCGGTGCAGGTGAACATGACGTTCCTGCGCATTGCTCCATCAGATGGCAAGAAGACCGACAAGGAGGCTCGGGCTTAGACGCTTCGAATGGAAGTGGGGTAAGACTCGCAGGTAGAGGCAAGACCTTGGGGCAGCCCTTTTGGCAGATTCCAGGAGCTGCAGCTTCGTCAGGCTCGAGCGACCATCGCCGAGCTTCAGGCGGTGAAACAAACCGTTGCCCTTAGAGATCCAACATGCGCGAGCGGAAACTGCCCTCCTAGCGCCAGCTCCAGCCTGCGATTCGCTTCAGGAAGCTGAGAATACAAACCTTTCGGAATGGTGTTATATGGTGTTGGCGGTGTTGGAGTTCGCAGGCGCAGGTGGCCACCTTGAAGAAGGAGGCAGAAGGAGCCAAAGAAGAGGCTCACAGAAGGGCTCGGCCCTTGCGGCCCTAGCGACTGGGAGCTTTGACGTACGTTGTGTCACCGTAATATGTGTAGTCTGACGCTGTAGTCTCCCTCTTTCTCGCTGTTTGCAGAGAGGCACAGGCTGTCAGCGCGGAGCTTCAGCTGTCCCAGACTTGGGCAGCTCAGGAGGCCAGAGAGAGAGAGTAAGAAATGGTCAACGCTTGCGCGCCCCCCGCCGCAGCTCCCGGAGAGCAGGTCTTTTTTAGGGGGTCCTAGGAGGGGGGAATTTCGAGAAGGCCCAGGACAGGAGAGGCTGCCGAAGCCCCCACCCTGGGACCTGCCTGGGAGCTATTGTTCCGCCTGGCCGAAAACCGGGGCGAACTTTTGCACGAGCAGAATCTAGACACACCAGCTCGGACGGCTTTATACCAGTGCGGCTTAACGGCGGCTTTGCGGGCTGCTTTTGTTGGAGTGCTTCGAGGGGAAGTCCCTGCAGCGGTTTTGTCGTCAGGCGCGGCAGCTTCAAGCTCTCAGATCAGGACCCTTGGTCCGTTGGTCCGTTGGTGCATGTGAGAGCTCATGTGAGGGCTCATATGAGATCCGCATTGGCACGCCTTTGCAGAAATCGATGAGCTGCGCTTGCAGAGTGACCAGGCCGACATCCAAAGAATCAGTTCTGCAATTTTTTTTACCTTCTGTCTTTGTTGGGAGCTCTCGCAGTTGAGACTGGCTGCAGGCAAAGATTCTCGAAGCATCAGAACAAGGTGAACTAGAACCGAAGTCCACCACAGAAGGCGACGAGAAAGTCAGGCACTTGCAAGCTTCGCTGGCCGATATGCAGGCGTCGAACCAGAAGTTGGAGATGGCAAGACAAGATCTGGCCAAGCAGCTGGAGCTTGCAAAAGCGGAGAGCTTGAAGCAGGAAGCTTCACTAAAGAAGGCTCGCGAGAGCGCTTCCCAGTGTGAAGACGCCCTCCTTCATGAGAGATCCACGCTTGAGCGGCTTCAGATGCAGATGTCAGAGGCCACGGAAGGTCGAGCGCAGGCAGAGGCGGAACGAGACAAGTTGAAAGCCAAGCTGCATGACGAGCAGATGCTCAAAGATCAGGTAGGAGCGTTTGCGGCTGAGGGCGACGAGAAGGCCAGACACTTGCAAGCTTCGCTGGCCGATGTGCAGGCGTCGAACCAGAAGTTGGAGATGGCAAGACAAGATCTGGCCGAGCAGCTGGAGCTTGCAAAAGCGGAGAGCTTGAAGCAGGAAGCTTCACTAAAGAAGGCTCGCGAGAGCGCTTCCCAGTGTGAAGACGCCCTCCTTCATGAGAGATCCACGCTTGAGCGGCTTCAGATGCAGATGGCAGAGGCCACGGAAGGTCGAGCGCAGGCAGAGGCGGAACGAGACAAGTTGAAAGCCAAGCTGCGTGACGAGCAGATGCTCAAAGATCAGGCAGGAGCGTTTGCGGCTGAGGGCGACGAGAAGGCCAGACACTTGCAAGCTTCGCTGGCCGATGTGCAGGCGTCGAACCAGAAGTTGGAGATGGCAAGACAAGATCTGGCCAAGCAGCTGGAGCTTGCAAAAGCGGAGAGCTTGAAGCAGGAAGCTTCACTAAAGAAGGCTCGCGAGAGCGCTTCCCAGTGTGAAGACGCCCTCCTTCATGAGAGATCCACGCTTGAGCGGCTTCAGATGCAGATGGCAGAGGCCACGGAAGGTCGAGCGCAGGCAGAGGCGGAACGAGACAAGTTGAAAGCCAAGCTGCGTGACGAGCAGATGCTCAAAGATCAGGCAGGAGCGTTTGCGGCTGAGGGCGACGAGAAAGTCAGGCACTTGCAAGCTTCGCTGGCCGATGTGCAGGCGTCGAACCAGAAGTTGGAGATGGCAAGACAAGATCTGGCCGAGCAGCTGGAGCTTGCAAAAGCGGAGAGCTTGAAGCAGGAAGCTTCACTAAAGAAGGCTCGCGAGAGCGCTTCCCAGTGTGAAGACGCCCTCCTTCATGAGAGATCCACGCTTGAGCGGCTTCAGATGCAGATGTCAGAGGCCACGGAAGGTCGAGCGCAGGCAGAGGCGGAACGAGACAAGTTGAAAGCCAAGCTGCATGACGAGCAGATGCTCAAAGATCAGGCAGGAGCGTTTGCGGCTGAGGGCGACGAGAAGGCCAGACACTTGCAAGCTTCGCTGGCCGATGTGCAGGCGTCGAACCAGAAGTTGGAGATGGCAAGACAAGATCTGGCCGAGCAGCTGGAGCTTGCAAAAGCGGAGAGCTTGAAGCAGGAAGCTTCACTAAAGAAGGCTCGCGAGAGCGCTTCCCAGTGTGAAGACGCCCTCCTTCATGAGAGATCCACGCTTGAGCGGCTTCAGATGCAGATGGCAGAGGCCACGGAAGGTCGAGCGCAGGCAGAGGCGGAACGAGACGAGGCCAAGGCAGCGTTGCAGCTTCTTGGAGACGAGCTGGACGAGTTGCGACGCAGAGTGGACCAGCATGAAGCTTGGCAGCCGATTTAGGGAATGAGGCATTGACGTTGAGGTTTTTGGGAGTGGGGAGGGGCAGAGCAAGCTGGGGGAGAGATTGGGGAAGGGGGTGAAACAAAGAGACAACTGATGAGAACCTAAAAGTGCAGGGAGTGAAGAAAGCGATTTTCCGAGAAGCATGCGCTCGCGCTTGTCGAGGAGGACTCGGAGGAAACACGTCGCCTCCTCGAGGAGCAGCTCGCGGAGACGAAAGCGGCTCGCACGAAGCTGCGCGAGGAGCTACAGAGGCCCGTGGCCCACCACCAGCTCTACACAGCGTCTTCCAAAGAACAGTCTCTGAAGTAAGGGGTTATTGCCATAATGATGACAAAACGATGCAGTAGGAGATTCCGGGGGCGCCCTTAGGGGCACCTACTTCCCCCTCTTGTGGGCTCGTCATCTTACCCATCGAAGCCAGACGGCATGACGTAGAATTACAACAAATTCCCTACTGTACAGGCCATTATTTGCCGATCAAGAAAGAGAAATACGCTGATCAGCTTCGCAGGGCTTGCTCCATATCAGATTAGACATCCGAAAAAAGCAGCGTCATGAAATATGTGGAAATGTCTACCATGCCCTCGCGCTTTTGTTTACACTCCGCTCAGCGCTCTCATACTCCAGGTCTCTCAGCATTTGGATATCGGGTGCCGATTGCTTTCTTCGCAGGGGGGGCAAAGGCAGCTGCACATGCTCTTGGGCAGTGCGAGCCTTTCATCTACTGTCGCATCTTCACCGTGTTTTCACTGTGCTTCCACCCCGTGTTTTGACCGCCTTTTCAGCAAGGGCAGGAACAGAGTCATGAACAGAGGCAAGTCATGGCCTGACTTGAGTCGAAACATCCTCCTGTCAGCTTTGCTTCACTGAAGCAGAAACGATCGGCAGATTGCTGAAGAGTTCTGCGGATGGTGCTTTGCCCGCAACAGCAAAGCGGGCTTGTAGGATTGTCTTAAGGAGGACTCCGAAGAAGGTCCTTGGGTCGTCTCGGCTTTTGTCTTTCACATTCTTTCACGTCCACCGCCTTGGGCTCTCTGTACTGGCCACTCGTGTGGTGCGCCTGTGGTCGCTTCTTGCGGCCATTGCAGTGGGCAGTTCGGTTCTCGGTTCGCGCTTTTTCAGGCGCCTGACCCCCTCCAAGCAGAGGTTGGCGACCAACGACTACGACTCCGACTGTGGTACCTGTAGCACCTGTGGTGCTCCTTCAGTGCTTCGCTGCTGACTCCAAAGGCCGAGGGCCATGCCATCGGTTTACTTCGTGGTCTTCACGGACTCCAGACGCTTGCAAAAACCCTTCGCCCCAGTGATTGCGCCGATAAAACGAAGCGGGAGGCGAGCATCATGAGCATCAGCTGGGTGCTTTTCCGGTCAGATGGGCCCCTAAGCTCCAGACGCTTGCAAAAACCCTTCGCCCCAGTGATTGCGCCGATAAAACGAAGCGGGAGGCGAGCATCATGAGCATCAGCTGGGTGCTTTTCCGGTCAGATGGGCCCCTAAGCTCCAGACGCTTGCAAAAACCCTTCGCCCCTTGCAAAAACCCTTCGCCCCAGTGATTGCGCCGATGGGACGAAGCGGGAGGCGAGCATCATGAGCATCAGCAGGGTGCTTTTCCGGTCAGATGGGCCCCTAAGCTCCAGACGCTTGCAAAAACCCTTCGCCCCAGTGATTGCGCCGATAAAACGAAGCGGGAGGCGAGCATCATGAGCATCAGCTGGGTGCTTTTCCGGTCAGATGGGCCCCTAAGCTCCAGACGCTTGCAAAACCCCTTCGCCCCAGTGATTGCGCCGATGGGACGAAGCGGGAGGCGAGCATCATGAGCATCAGCTGGGTGCTTTTCCGGTCAGATGGGCCCCTAAGCTCCAGACGCTTGCAAAAACCCTTCGCCCCAGTGATTGCGCCGATGAAACGAAGCGGGAGGCGAGCATCATGAGCATCAGCTGGGTGCTTTTCCGGTCAGATGGGCCCCTAAGCTCCAGACGCTTGCAAAACCCTTCACCCCAGTGATTGCGCAGATTGGACGAGGCGGGAGGCGAGCATCATGAGCATCAGCTGGGTGCTTTTTCGGCCTCATGGCCCCCTAAGCTCCAGACGCTTGCAAAACCCTTCACCCCAGTGATTGCGCAGATTGGACGAGGCGGGAGGCGAGCATCATGAGCATCAGCTGGGTGCTTTTTCGGCCTCATGGCCCCCTAAGCTCCAAACGCTTGCAGACCCCTTCACCCCAGTGATTGCGCAGATGGGACGAGGCGGGAGGCGAGCATCATGAGCATCAGCTGGGTGCTTTTTCGGCCTCATGGCCCCCTAAGCTCCAGACGCTTGCAAAACCCTTCACCCCAGTGATTGCGCAGATTGGACGAGGCGGGAGGCGAGCATCATGAGCATCAGCTGGGTGCTTTTTCGGCCTCATGGTCCCCTAAGCTCCAGACGCTTGCAAAACCCTTCACCCCAGTGATTGCGCAGATTGGACGAGGCGGGAGGCGAGCATCATGAGCACCAGCTGGGTGCTTTTTCGGCCTCATGGCCCCCTAAGCTCCAGACGCTTGCAAAACCCTTCACCCCAGTGATTGCGCAGATTGGACGAGGCGGGAGGCGAGCATCATGAGCATCAGCTGGGTGCTTTTTCGGCCTCATGCCCCCTAAGCTCCAGACGCTTGCAAAACCCTTCACCCCAGTGATTGCGCAGATTGGACGAGGCGGGAGGCGAGCATCATGAGCATCAGCTGGGTGCTTTTTCGGCCTCATGGCCCCCTAAGCTCCAAACGCTTGCAAACCCCTTCACCCCAGTGATTGCGCAGATGGGACGAGGCGGGAGGCGAGCATCATGAGCATCAGCTGGGTGCTTTTTCGGCCTCATGGCCCCCTAAGCTCCAGACGCTTGCAAAACCCTTCACCCCAGTGATTGCGCAGATTGGACGAGGCGGGAGGCGAGCATCATGAGCATCAGCTGGGTGCTTTTTCGGCCTCATGGCCCCCTAAGCTCCAAACGCTTGCAGACCCCTTCACCCCAGTGATTGCGCAGATGGGACGAGGCGGGAGGCGAGCATCATGAGCATCAGCTGGGTGCTTTTTCGGCCTCATGGCCCCCTAAGCTCCAGACGCTTGCAAAACCCTTCACCCCAGTGATTGCGCAGATTGGACGAGGCGGGAGGCGAGCATCATGAGCATCAGCTGGGTGCTTTTTCGGCCTCATGGCCCCCTAAGCTCCAAACGCTTGCAAACCCCTTCACCCCGGTGATTCCGCAGATGGGACGAGGCGGGAGGCGAGCATCATGAGCATCAGCTGGGTGCTTTTCCGGCCTCATGGCCCCCTAAGCTCCAGACGCTTGCAAAACCCTTCACCCCAGTGATTGCGCAGATTGGACGAGGCGGGAGGCGAGCATCATGAGCATCAGCTGGGTGCTTTTTCGGCCTCATGGCCCCCTAAGCTCCAAACGCTTGCAAACCCCTTCACCCCAGTGATTGCGCAGATGGGACGAGGCGGGAGGCGAGCATCATGAGCATCAGCTGGGTGCTTTTTCGGCCTCATGGCCCCCTAAGCTCCAGACGCTTGCAAAACCCTTCACCCCAGTGATTGCGCAGATTGGACGACTTTTTCGGCCTCATGGCCCCCTAAGCTCCAAACGCTTGCAAACCCCTTCACCCCAGTGATTGCGCAGATGGGACGAGGCGGGAGGCCAGCATCATGAGCATCAGCTGGGTGCTTTTTCGGCCAGACGCTTGCAAAACCCTTCACCCCAGTGATTGCGCAGATTGGACGAGGCGGGAGGCGAGCATCATGAGCATCAGCTGGGTGCTTTTTCGGCCTCATGGCCCCCTAAGCTCCAAGCGCTTGCAGACCCCTTCACCCCAGTGATTGCGCAGATGGGACGAGGCGGGAGGCGAGCATCATGAGCATCAGCTGGGTGCTTTTCCGGCCTCATGGCCCCCTAAGCTCCAGACGCTTGCAAAACCCTTCACCCCAGTGATTGCGCAGATGGGACGAGGCGGGAGGCGAGCATCATGAGCATCAGCTGGGTGCTTTTCCGGCCTCATGGCCCCCTAAGCTCCAAACGCTTGCAAACCCCTTCACCCCAGTGATTGCGCAGATGGGACGAGGCGGGAGGCGAGCATCATGAGCATCAGCTGGGTGCTTTTCCGGCCTCATGGCCCCCTAAGCTCCAGACGCTTGCAAAACCCTTCACCCCAGTGAATGCGCAGATGGGACGAAGCGGGAGGCGAGCATCATGAGCATCAGCTGGGTGCTTTTCCGGCCTCATGGCCCCCTAAGCTCCAGACGCTTGCAAAACCCTTCACCCCAGTGATTGCGCAGATGGGACGAGGCGGGAGGCGAGCATCATGAGCATCAGCTGGGTGCTTTTCCGGCCTCATGGCCCCCTAAGCTCCAGACGCTTGCAAAACCCTTCACCCCAGTGATTGCGCAGATGGGACGAGGCGGGAGGCGAGCATCATGAGCATCAGCTGGGTGCTTTTCCGGCCTCATGGCCCCCTAAGCTCCAGACGCTTGCGAAACCCTTCACCCCAGTGATTGCGCAGATGGGACGAAACGGGAGGCGAGCATCATGAGCATCAGCTGGGTGCTTTTTCGGCCTCATGGCCCCCTAAGCTCCAGACGCTTCCAAAACCCTTCACCCCAGTGATTGCGCAGATGGGACGAGGCGGGAGGCGAGCATCATGAGCATCAGCTGGGTGCTTTTTCGGCCTCATGGCCCCCTAAGCTCCAGACGCTTGCAAAACCCTTCACCCCAGTGATTGCGCAGATGGGACGAGGTGGGAGGCGAGCATCATGAGCATCAGCTGGGTGCTTTTCTGGCCTCATGGCCCCGTAAGCTCCAGACGCTTGCAAAACCCTTCACCCCAGTGATTGCGCAGATGGGACGAGGCAGGAGGCGAGCATCATGAGCATCAGCTGGGTGCTTTTCCGGCCTCATGGCCCCCTAAGCTCCAGACGCTTGCAAAACCCTCCACCCCAGTGATTGCGCAAATGGGACGAGGCGGGAGGCGAGCATCACGAGCATCAGCTGGGTGCTTTTTCGGCCTCATGGCCCCCCAAGCTCCAGACGCTTGCAAAACCCTTCGCCCCAGTGATTGCGCAGATGGGACGAGGCGGGAGGCGAGCATCATGAGCATCAGCTGGGTGCTTTTCCGGCCTCATGGCCCCCTAAGCTCCAGACGCTTGCAAAACCCTTCACCCCAGTGATTGCGCAGATGGAACGATGCGGGAGGCGAGCATCATGAGCATCAGCTGGGTGCTTTTCCGGCCTCATGGCCCCCTAAGCTCCAGACGCTTGCAAAACCCTTCACCCCAGTGA